TTTTGGTCAGTAGTAAATAGAGTGTAATGAATAAAACGAAACATCAAGGTCTAAATACTTCATTGTAAAAATAACTACATTTGAATACATTGTATTATAATAGGATTGACATTAGATAAAAAAAAGAGAAGATATTAAAATATATAAGGTCTAGTAAAACAAATCTATTATCAGACTTACGTCAAATGTGCAATGTTTTGTTCATAACGCCACTTTCATAGAAGCTACCGTCTCTATTGACAGAAACTGGGAAAACCGATTTCCATGAGACTCTCTTGAGGCGAAGTTTTCCCCATCAACCACATTTACCATAGATAAGAACAGGTAGTAACCACCAAACCATAAGATGGATGCATAAGAACATACCTATGTTACCAACCACATGGAGCTTCTAGGGAGTCCCTATCGATGTGTGTTGCTATTGGCCAAAGCTGGCCACTTCTAAGCGATCGCTTACTTTAGACGATATTACATTTCGAATTAAGAGTTTGGCTGCAGGAAACAGCTCATAGTAAATGGTTCTCAGCCAATCCCACCAAACACACAGCAAACCCTTTCTGACAGTCAATCCATCGTTTGCGCCGGCTCACCGTAAAAATAATCGTTTTTGTGCTTGTGCTTTTCCCAAATGGAAACATGCGTTAACTCCTGTAGCACCCATATGATGAACTTCTTTTATATCCATCCATATTTAAATGGTACCAAAGGAGTTTTTCGCTATGTTACATGATGATCAGACTCGATGATTTCCATTGTTTTTTTATGCTGAGTCAATCAATCACAAAACTGAGAAGTATTTTTTTTTTAAATCTTATCTTTCTATCGCTATATTGTGTAACCAAATCGCAATTATACAAGGCGATATAGATATTTCTAAAGCCACCTATTGAAAAAATAATTAATTCCCTTTTACTAGACAAAATATGTACTTATATATTTTCTGTGATGTATGATAGGTTCTTATAGGTATGTAGTGGTTTTTTCTAAATTATCGGCTCGGAAGCATAAATATTTTCATTATTGTTTTTACTTTACTTCATGTATAAGCTTGGTTTAGAGGATTCTGTTGACTAATTCTTTAATTGATATTTGGTAATACATTGTCTAGTTCTCTAGTATCGAGGTGGTTGATGATAGACCATCTAACTTAGCATAACAATATCGACTGATACATGCTGTGCGGCATAACGCGTCATAACGTTGAAACTATGAATTACATATATCTGGATATACAATTTACGATAGCAAAACATCAGTTATGCATGACTGATCTTATAGAGTTTTTTGAGCGATTTAAACAGCCTGTCTCCAAGTGAGCGTTCTTGGATCAGATTTTACCTCATTAAATCTTAAAGCTCACTGTTATTGTCGAAATAAGTATATAAATTAAGTTAGGATGTGTTTCAAATGTCTCCACATTCTTTTATTTATTTAGTTCATACCCTGTAGGAAACATTATTTTCAAATTGTTTGATTTCTATCTCATGCCTGGTTTTCGTTATGTCAAATTCACTGACATTAAATTCAATTAAATTGGTAAAAAAAACAATAGTATAGCGATTTGCTTCGCGAAATTATTGAAATGATAAAGTATAAATCTACTTCAAGTGTGCGTTAGTGAACCAAAAAATTATTTCTCTCATTATACCATGTACAAATGTATGTAAATATTAGCATTAATAAATATTTCACTCTCCTTAACGATTTACTGTAAGTCACACTTTTCTATGTATCTAATAATAATATATTGTTTAAAAAAGATGAGAAGATGTAGCCTTCGTATTTAACATGGTACCGTAGTCGCTTTTGACGAGCTATGGATTTTGCTTGATTAGTTGACATCTATAAATTTTTTTTTTTATAAATACATATTATGGTATGAGTTTGAGACAGGTATTCAAAGTTGTACTCGTTCTGAACATCAAATATGTAAATAAGTTGGCGTATTTCTTGCAGGGTACATTGGTAAAACATTCATATAAGTACAATACATACTAAACATAAATATGGTAAGTATGTTCTTACATGTTAATGGAGTTTCAATTTTGTTGTATGTGGGTAAAGCGATGACTCAATTTCAAGTAACTTTATTTGCATAAATTTGTTTGATGGCTTACTCACGTAATCACCAAAACCAACGCGAAGTTGCATGCAAATTTACATTTTAATTTTTATTTTTCGTTAAAACGATTGTTTACACTATTGATAATCATGAGAAGTTTTTTTGCTTTGGCTTTGTAATCGAACCTTAAGCAGTTAAATGATTTATGCGAAGAATTTAATTTATTTGGACATAGATTAACTAATCGGAGTTCATTAGTGGCATCTATTTACATATGTGCATATGTATATACATTATGTACCTGTCAACTAATGAACGATCTGAAGAGCGTTGTAAATGTAGTTAATAGAATATGTTCAGATTTCGATTATTCGGTAATAAAGAATATTGGACAGCTGTTTGGAAGTAGCGGTGATGTATTTATTCTTTAATTATTTTATAAATAATGGATTTTAATGAATATTTATTCAAAGGGCGTTTGATTAGTAGTGTTTACTTCTAGTTGTTTAGCACTACTTATGCAATTAGTACCCGTGCATAGAAAAAGGATGTACAAATAATCAAAAAAAAAAAAACAAATTAACATAAGAAAAAAATTTTAGACCTCAAATTTCAATAACCATGTGATGAATATACAACAAAAAACTTAACTTAAAAAAATAACAAAATCTATTTTGCCAAAATTCAAAAATTCTATCCTTAAAACGAAAAAGAACACCATTCTGAAAATTTTAGAATTTCTTTAGATATTTTAGAGATATAATATGAAAAATTTTGATGCCAAAATTTTCCCGCGATTGTTATTTTTTACGATTTAGGAAAATTTTTTTCCTTTGCAGAACCTCGTTTTATGATAAGACAAAACTTTCCACCAAAATTCATTCGAATTGGTGAGAGCCGCGTTCTACTATTTATCGATTTGACATGGAATGAACCTTATGTTATATTGCTGCATATATCTGTTAATGTACAAGATACAGGGGCACACCTAGTTTTGAAAATTGTAAAATTTTATGTTTCATCTTTCTATAGAATATGCCGTTCGAAAAACCTACTACAATTTTAGATCGATATCTCGAATAGTTTTTAATATAGTTCAATTAGCTAATCAGTTTATCTTTGAACGATTTTTATCGAAACAGCGTTTTTCAAATTTGCTTGCGTGATTACTCGCAGATAAATTCCCTAAAAATGAACTTACTCGTAGTACTGCCTGAATTGTAGTTCTGCATACTATGCCAAATGAACAAGTTTTTGACAAGCCAAAACCACAAAAATATTGGTTAAAATTCAACTTTTTTAAAAATGCCATTATTTTGAACTTACAGCCCTGAATCATTGTACGAACACTGCTTTTAGTGAAAACTATTTTTAGGTTTTATCCATGAAGAGGAACAGAATCACTATAACAGTGGGTTTTTTTGATATGTTTAAGTATTTTAATACAACTGATGTAGAATTTGTTTTTTTTTTTATTCCAAAAAATCGGTTGTCTTTAGACTGTCATACTAGATGTACCCCTTAAGGCGTTATGCCTTAATTTCATATCAGATGAATGATCGATAAAGGCTGGTGTACCTCAGGGGAGTGAACTAGGCTCACCTCTATATATCATATATACACCAGCTATTCCAACTCATAATAACGTATTGACATCGACTTTAGCCAACTGGCGAATTTATATATAATTACTATAACAAAAAAGTGTGTGTTCTTTTTTTCAGTGTGCTGCCGTTGACATATGGGGATAAAACTTATAACGTTTTAAATCTTTAGAGTTATAACGGGTTCACCATGGTACATTCGTAATGAAAATATTCACAAAGATCTTGGGATTCCTATGGTTAAGCAAGAAGTAGAGAGCACCAGAAATAAATACGAACTTAAACTATGTAATCATCTAAATCCATTAGATAGCGCTTTGCTACAACTCTGTAATCAAATTCGCTTAGAAAGAAGAAATCTACCAGCCTTCTAAAGAGCAACGTATCACGAAACAGGCTCAAGTAGAACCTTGAGCTCGTCTAGCTTTAATTAGACTTAAGACTTTAACACTTATTGTTAAGCAGATTCAATAAATAAAGATATATTAACAAAAAAAAAAAGATATAATGTGATTTAGTGCTAAAGGTTATATAAACAACCGATATAATTATTTCCGTCCTTCTGGTTGATTGTTGTTACACAGTTACAGAAATTTATATTATTAAGGAATCATAATATAAATTATTCAGGAATCATAATATAAGTTAGTGAACTTTCACTTTCCATTTTAGTAGAAGCCCGTTATAATACTACAGTCAATGGAGACGCTATTGAGCCATGATTCGTTCGTGCCTGAATTGAAGGATGTTGATGTAGACGGCATTTGGTTCCAACAAGCCGGCACTACATGTCATGGAGCCATCGAAACAATCAATTTATTGAAGGAAACTTTTGGTGAGCACCTTATCTCGACTCGTGGGCCTACCGCGAATAATCCATTTTTCTAAAACTAATTAGTGTAAAATCGGGACGACAGGTCACACACGCGTAAATACCAATTGAATGATACCCACCTGTTCATTAATTTTTAATCTCCGATCTTTTTACTTTTGTGGTTTTGTTAGCTACACCCATTATTCATATGCAAAAAACGTGTCAACAGCATCAACACTCCCAGATTGTCTACAATTTCCACAACTATCCAGAGTTACGAGCGCTAGTTCAACAAACCTATTAATACGCGCTCTAAACGATCCGCAAGAGTTTATTGGTGAGCATCAGAATTCAGAGAAGCTTAATACGCATTGTATATGCCAATAATATTTCTCCATTATGATTATTTTCTGTGGCAATAACTTACGACATAAATTTACGAATTTTATTATGTAATAGAAATAACAATGAACAAATACAAAAACATAAACAAAAACCAAGCGTTTACGCGTGATTGGTGAATGAAGAGAAAGAAGCAGAATGGTAGAACGAATCTGCTGGCGGATATAAAAAGAGATTTGACAATGCCTGCAACAGACATTTATTCTATTCTAGACAGAGAAGTAGCTTCAGGCTATCGGTGCACACTTTTGTTTAACACTTCGACACAGCGAAAGCAAATTCTTAAAATATTAATTAAATATGGCGAAATTGGTTAGTGTCAAGCTCTTTTATTAATTTTAATTATATCCGGTTATATTTATTTTTTATTTCTTATATTCATTTACTCCCAACAGTGTGAGGTCCTGTTCATTTCCGCTTCAATTTTCGCGTTGGCCACTGCTGCCACCATCCGCAATCGACCGCTGGCGATAGGCGAGCCAGTTGTTGCTGTTGTGCAGACCGAGAAGGAGTTCGTGCCAATTGTGAAATCGGTGGCGGAGCGAAAAGATGATGGTTCTTTCGTCTTCTCGTACGAGGGTGCTGACGGCACTCAGCGCGAGGAGGTTGGCATCGTAAAGAACGCTGGTACCGACGAGGAGACTTTGGAGGTTTCGGGCTCTTACCGTTACTACGATGCCGATGGTCAGCTGATCGAGGTGCGTTATACCGCAGGCGAAAATGGTTTTGTGCCACAAGGCACAAATATTCTACAAGAAATCTCGGCAGCGGCACAAGCCGCAGCTGAGGTGGCTCGTCGCCAGCCGGTGGAAGAGAAATGAAGTGTGTTTGGTCGACAAATCAGTGACTAGAGTATTTTGAAGTGCTTTATAAGTACGCGTGTTTATTACTAATAAATTAACGAACTACAATTTGATAACAAGAAAAATATTTACAAATAAAAATAAAATGTTATGTAAAAATTTAACAGAAAAGGTTTAATTATTAATTTCTATGTAATCTGCAGCATTCCGTTGGTGTCATTTGCGCTTGCACACCTTACAAGACTTGTAAACAACCTTTTCAAAAGTGACACCTGAAAAATTCTTCAACCAGCCGCATAAGTAACAGTAAAATATAATAATCTAAATTTGAGTACTACACTGTGAATGTAAAATTTGAGTTTTAAGCACAACCAGGTTGCATGCAGCAACCACGATGAACTGACATTTAGTAATTTTTAGAGTCAAACTTCATTAGAAGATAAGTCGATCGATATCAACAACAAAGTAATTAAGTTGCCGTTGTAAATAATTTTGACGATGCACAGTGGTTTCGCTTGTATGGGAGCCGCGGCTATAAGTACCTTAAGTTGAGATATCGTTTTGAAATTTTCACCAAAAATCTTTAAAAATATAATTAATATAATATATTATAAAAAAATTGGGCACATCGGACGACTATATCCTATAGCTCCCATAGTTACAGTCGATAACGGATCGATACATTTTTTTATGTTTTTTCCATTTTGGGGGAAACTGAGCGTGGTTTTACTAATAGTAATGTAACACAAAAGAAAATACACACTTTCAAGAATATTCGCATCGATAGGTGGTACTCAAAAATGTTGTGATAACAGAAAAATAGACCAAGTAAAACATTTATATATTATAATAAGAAAACGAGCAACAATTATACAAATAATTTTCATATTGCCTCATCAAGTAAATCTATAGTTGATTTTAGTATGTTAGCGTCGATTTGTGGTTATGAGCAATTTGGGATTACAAATTAAATCATCTTTCATCTTTTGTTCTCGATTTTTGGGATAAAAAATTTAATACATTATTTTTTGATTTGAATGAAGTACATAAACGCGAAAAAATATTAATTCTTAACCATATACTGTTTTTTAATTCTTAATTACATATGTGCTTGGAACAAAAAAAAAAAATTTTTTTTTCAATCCGGTGTGTGGGATTAATTTTTTTTTAATTTTTAAGCTTTCCAATATTTAGCTTTCGAGAGTTTAACGGCTATTACGAAAGATATATTAAGCCACTATTGGTTTCCAAATCTTAATTCTGAGAGATGAATTATGTGTCATAAAAGTAATTAATTGACTAACAAATTTTGTAAGGAAAATGCACAAATTCTTTAGCCTTCGAATTTTTCACCGTGGAGTTAAATCATCTGCATGTAAAAATTGTTGAAAAATTATTTGTAAAATTAATTTCAGTCACTTTTTCGCTTCGTTGGCCAAATGTTACCTAAACCATTATCAAGTCAACTCCGAACAAATCAAAATTCGCTACCCAAGTCAACTTGATTTTTTTACCCATAGACGCCTCAGCAACGCCGCAGCAACGCCTCAACTTCGCACAACACCGAATAAAATTGCTTGGAGGGAAAGGGGAGTGAATAAAGACGCAGCTTAGCAACAACATATTTTTATATATTACCAAAAACAACAATAACCAAGCTAATCGCTGTAAAATTGTATCTTAAAGGCTTTTTAAAATAAATTCAAATCAAATTCTTGCAGCTCTGGCCACTTGCAAATTGTTGTAACAAAATAGTGGAGACGCTGAAACAACAACAAAAAAATTTAAAAAAAAGAATTTATAATAATATAAGTGCATCAGCGGTGCAGTGCGAAAAGTATGCCGCACCGGGGGAGCGCCTCATAAGTGAACACCTACTCTGCGCACAACAGTACATACTTAAATGTATCCATAATTATACTTACTTATATACATAATATATGTATGTAGATATTTTATGTTTGTGTGTATTCATCAACACGGCGGCACATCAACTCCCTTCCATTCAGCAGTTGTTATTGTTGTTTATACTTGTGCTTTTTTCACGGCTTTTATTGTTGTTTTTGTTTTCCACTGCCGCATCATCGCCACACTGACACACTGCCTTAGTGCCAAGTGTATCTTCCGACTTCCAAGCTTTACTGCGACGCGCCGCCTGTCTAAGCCAACGCTCCACTCAAGTCTTGCTTGTATGTACTCGTAGCTCGCTCCACTCAAGCGAGTGAACGCTAAGCAAATCTGAATCTGAAACATTAGTTAAGCTGTCAAAATTATAAATTGTGGCAATTTTTACTTGCTCGCTCGTACGCTTGACTCTACTATCTGTTTATTACAGCAGAAGCGTCTTCATCTACCCCGACAGCCGCTTTAACAATGGGCTCCCTTTAGTTGCCACCCATTTGCCGAAAAGCCTCGTTTTCCTGTCATGTCTTGTAGGAAATATCGCAGAGATTGGGAGCATTTGCGATAAAGGGCATTGCAGATAGTTATTTAAGAATATTCGCTATTTGCAATATTATTTTCCAGAGTTAGTCCCGCTCGTCGTCTTTTTACTGTCAATGTGTAAAAGTCAGTCGCCGCAATTTGAATCGAATGTGGATGTCTAAGCTCGCTTAGAGACCTACTTGGCACACCTCCAGGATAAGCGTATGTCAGACGTGAAGAAAGTTGTTCTCCGATCATTGCCAGTCAACGGTGTAATCACCGAAGAAATTGTTCAGATCAGATTACTATACCTGCGATACCTGGGCAAAGCAATTATCTAACGATATAATTTTGATTTTTTATTGCAGATGATCCAGCACCAATTTAGAAAAAAATCACAAAACGAGCTTTAAATTAACCCTACTCCCCTCTTGATCCGTCAAAAAAAAATTGGTTGGTTGGTACAATACACCCGCTTTGTAGTTGAACGATAATGTAGTTTATTTTGAAAAAATGAATAAAAAATGGAAAACGGGTAAATAAACTATTCATAAAAAATTTTAAATTATTTCTTATCAGTTTCGTTGAAATATCCCGAAACTGGACAAGACAAGCCACAATTAGAAGCACGAGAAATAAAATTGAGAAAAATATATCTAAATCTATACTTTGTCGCGCCTCCTTTTGCCTTAATCACCGCCCTAAGCCTTGCTTGCAATGACTTTATGAGTCATAAAATCACGAACCTGCCAAAAAGTAGATAAATAAAATTAGTTATAAATGCGATTGATAACCAGTAGTAGAACTGAAAACGAATTAACTTACAATATTGGACCTGTGACATTGCGCAGAACCGCAACCGTTACAGGGTATCAAATTGGATTTCAGGAGTTTGGTATAAACCTCGCCGTAGGCTCTTCCTTCAATTAAATGAAACCCTTTTTCCGGCATTCTCTGCTTAACCGTTCGTCTAACCTTCTCCATATATGATGGATACCATCTGATTGAAAAAATGTTAAACTTGGAATCATTCGAGAAAATTATGGTCTGCCACAGTTCCACCGACCAATTTTCATGTTCTTTCACTCATACATACCTCTATTTCCGCAGTCGTTGGCTCAAAAAAGGTTTTTTTTTGCAAAAGGTCTGCCGTTGAATCATGCTTCTGTAAGCCTCTGGCGAACCATTGATGCATCCACTAACCCTTCTGTCGCATCACTAAGGTTCTTTTTAATCTCTGACGAGGATTTAAAGCGATCCATGAGACAATGATATTTTAATATTGCAAATAAACTATTTACATCTCTATCTATATAAGAAAAAAATTGGTTGTCAAACCAATTAGAAATAGCGGTCTCTCAAACTTAAAGTGGGGTCAACTACCTTTAGGACAAGTTGAGTCTTAATTTTATAATTATAAAATAATTGTGAATTAAAAATTTCATTTTATAATTCTCCTCACAGGGTTGTATCTTTGCCACACTGGACTTCATACAAATTTATTAAAAGACAAATTGTTAATTGTTATATCTGTATTAGGTTTTTATTTAAACCAATTTTATTATAATATATACCCACATATTACTGAACGATCTAACGGAAAAGTCTAACGTGCAAAACTTTTAGAGTAACCACTTGCTGTTACAAACTCAGTATCGCGGCATTGATGTGGATCGTGGATGTGCGTGTAGCGCCGATGGCATGCAAACACTCGGTGCACTGTTTTATTGCCACGAAAGCACATTAAATCTTAAGCGAAAAGCCATTGTTATTATTGTACGTGTTTGATCTCTAGACCTTTGAGGGCATGCCGTTGTGAGTTGGTCAATATTCACGTAATAATGAAAAATTCATAAAAATTTGTGATTTCGTTACTAAAGAAGTCGCACGATGTTTTACTGAATCATTAGTTGGGTAATGTTTTGGTGTAGTTACCAATATATATCTCTGTAAGGTGGGCAATTTTCGTGGGACACCAACAATTTTTTTAAAAACAGAGGAAATATTATTATAATTTTTAAAAACAGTGGATTTTCTAAAGAGAATGACTTTGCTAATATAACATAAATAAATACAAACTACAACGATCTATTGAGCTTATTATATTTGGTTCAAATTATATAAAAGGCAACAAGTTTTCCCAACAACTAAGGCCTATATGTCCACGCAATGTTGTGTAAATATCTTACAACCGATTATGACTATGATTTAGAGAAAGTTTAAAACTAAGATCTCCTACGTTACCTAGCTATAGCAATTTGATCTCGAAACGATCTACATTGACCCACCTACAGCGATAATTTGCCCCTGAAAGGAAAGTAATAAGAATGAAATGATCTCTAATCTTTTCGGAATCGGTCGGTACGGTCACTGAACGCCGCTTAAGGTTGCCAAGGGAAACAAAGATCTGGCTTTAATCTGTTCTGTTCATCGGACTTATTCAATAACCACTTCAATTTTACCATTTTGAAATTAAAGCTTTTGCGCATCCGAAGTTACAGTAAACTTTCAGCTCATTTCTAATATGTGTATTATTAATGTGGGGTTCAATTCCTTCGATGAGTTTTTATAGCTTGGTTACCAAAACAGCGAAAAACTGCGTTATATAATTTAATGTATAGTTTCTGGCATTTCTGTGACTTTTTACAATATACTCTCGCAACATGTTGCTACAGAGTATGATAGTTTTGTTCACCTAACGGTTGTTTGTATCACCTAAAACTAATCGAGTTAGATATATAGTTATGTATATATAAATGATCAGGATGAAGAGACCAGCTAAAATTAGGGTGACTGTCTGTCCGTCCGTCTGTCCATGCACGCTGTAACTTGAGTAAAACTTTAAAAATCATCTGGAACCTTGGTATGCGTGTTCCTTGGTCAAATTAGGAGGTTGATATTGCAGATGCGCGTAATCGGACCATTGCCACGCCCACAAAATGCCATTAAATGAAAAACTATAAAGTGTTATAACTAAGCTACAAGTTAAGATATAAAACAGGAATTTAGTACAGGTGATTGGAGGACATAGCTTCGCCACCTAAAAGGTTTAATGTATATGTCTCACAAACCTCGAAAGCTATATCAACTAAACTTGCTAAGGATGATTACTTTCAGCACGTCCTCAAACGAGGTAAAATCGGATATTAACCACGTCCACTCACCATAAAACGGTTAAGTTGAAAACATCATAGGAGCCTGTGAAAAAATTGAACAATGGGCGTGACACTGCCCTCTTTTAGATTAAATTCCTTATTTGAGAATCCCCGAATTTCAAGCAAATTCAATTTGTAACATTTGAACATTACGGTGCAAAAATTAACAAAATCGGACAAAAACTTCGCCTACTTCCCATATAACACAATTATAAATTCCATCTGATCCTTTTACTTTCCCGTAAACAAAGCAAGCTACTTTGAATATACGGAGTTAAAACTTTGCACAAATAGTGCCTTTAAAGTTTCCCTTCTCATGACTAAAAGTTGTCAAAATCGGACTATAACTGTTCGAGCCCTCAGATACCGCATATGTGGAAAATATTGGTCAATCAGTTATATATATTATTAGACCTCGGAGGCAATATTTGTCTAGCAATATTTAGCCTGTCTTTATACCGCATATTTCTGTCAATATGTGAGTTATCTTAATGAAATTCAAAGAGAATCTCTTTCTTTAAATAGATAAACTCAGGTGAAATTTTGCCCTAGCTCCTATATATCTAATATAAGGATCTTCAAACATCCGGTTGACTTTACACGTCATATATTGGTTAATATGTGGGGGTATTTTAATGAAACTCAGAGAGTATTTTTTTCTGGTCTTGATATGTCGTAATGCCAAAAATGGATAAAATCGGTCAGTACTACTCCAATCCCCCATATAGTTTTAAAGAACCGGTTATCTTTATACCGTGTTTATTATCAATAAGTAAGATATCTTATTAAAATTAAGTGAAAATATAACACTAGATAGATGTACATACTATAGTATAATGCCGAAAATGTGTGAAATTAGTCCACGAATTACTCCAGCTCTCACATATTATCTATAGGGATTATCGTTATTCCACAGACTTTGTGAAAAACTTGTCAGTGTGTTCTTGAGTATATTTTGGTTGTGGCAAAGACCCAATATACGCAGTATAGTGATTTCCTTTCTATTTGACTTTCCATCCGACTCTAAAGCATTTATGGTTGCTATTTTCTCATATACTCAATATATACTTTTGACATAGATGAGAAAAAACAAAAATTGGTTTTTCCTTGCTTAAAATTTAAAAAAGGGTATGTATTTTTTTTATTTGAACAAATAGTAAATGTATGGAAAACTATTATACTCACTTCAATTTTGCGATTGCCAGTTCGAACCTGTACCTGTAGACTTGATAACTTCATTTTAGTATGCAAAATTTTATAAATTTAAAATATGGTTCTTCCAGATGTTCCTATGTTTTTCGTAAATATTATATCTTCTTCAGAATTTGTGTATGTGTGTGTAAGTAACCGTTTTGCTATCCGATTAGCAATTAAACCGCATTTTTATTCAAACTAAAGCAAATCGGAAACAACAATTGTTTACAAAAATCGCGAGAGCATCGAAAGCATCCGAGAAAAATTCACACAATGAGCTCGTTTTATGTGTATGCTGTCGGCCATACAGGTTCTTTACGTGACATATTTTATTGTGTTCCTGCCCATTTTTGTTGTTATTTTTTCATTTTTTGCTTGCCACTATTTTTTTTAATGACCGTAAAGTGGTTTTATGCGTTTTTCATATGGATTTGCAAATAAAAGTCACAATTTCTTGTACACTCACACAAAAATGCAATAACAACAACTCATCTTATTAGGAATCATCACTACACTTTGAAAATTCCCCAAAAATCGGCTAGTTCAAAAAAAACTGTTCAGCAAATTGAAAAATATTGCGAAATAAATTGTAGAAACATTCGCTAATGAGCCATGAAATTTTCAAGGGAAAAAATTTGGTGCAATATCATGAAATGCAATGTGCATGTGTATAGATTGGTATACTTGTACGTGCCGTTAGTTACGGATGTACACAATGTATACAATGTGTACTACACATGTCAAATAGTTTTGTGCAGCTTCTCATCGTAAATCTATTCTGGCAGCTACTGTTTAATTGAGGTGCTAATGAAATACATTCAAAAAAATAAACATTGGAGATTATTTTACAAGTGTAAAATAAATATTGAAATTGGCAAGCCTTTGTTTTACAAAATCAACTATGAGCTTAGTTTGAAACTACGTAATTTTTTTACTTTTGACCTTGTTGGCTTCCTCTAGTTAATTGACATTAGGTTAGGTTAGGTTACATCGGCCGGCTGTCACGTCATGCATATACATATTGGTCATTGTCATGTCAGATGGATGTTCAATCTAATTTGACTTGAAGTACTTGTCATACAGTACGTCAACACCTTTTATCTAATTTTGATACTTTATCTAGTCCCTTGAACTGCGAAGCTTCTAGATATCTAAGACGAGTTCTAGATAAGACTGGACAGAAGCATAGGAGGTGTGCTAGCATCTCCCTTATGCCTATTTACCTGCCCTTTCTGCATGTATCGCCGTTACTTATGTCCATCCGGATAGCATGTGATGCCAGTAGGTTGTGACCTGTCATTAGGCCAACAACCGTTCTACAGTTCTTTCGAGCACGTGTGAGTAAAAAGCATGCAGTTTTTTTTTTTGGTGCTCGTGAACATGATCTTGGCGATCTTTGCAGCCGCTTTCGACAGCCGCTATATCTATTGTCTTCCTGCGATGTGGTATTATTGCCTTAATAGTCGTCTGGCTTCCGATTTATATATTCATCTTCTTTATGTTTTTTCCTCCTTTGTTCGCCATCTCAGTCGATTCAGACTTCCTCCTGGAAGATACTACAGTCGCTTGAGATCCAGCTCCGAGCAACAGATCCTGGCCCTCATCGCATTAGCCATTTTTTATTCAACTGTATTGCAATATATTGGGTCGTTCATTAAGTAATTAAGCTTGATGACAACAGCTGATCTTATTGAATTTTTCGCAGGCAACTTCACACTTACTCGCTTTACTATTATATCATACAAGTATTAAACAGTACATATAGTAGGGCTTGTTCGTAAAATTTTTTTTTAATTATATGCGATGGTTTTTGCTTGGTATTCTATCGTAAATGGAAGATTGAAAATAGCATTTTCGGCATATTTTACTATCAAAAGAATATGCAATTTAAGCAAAGCGAAAATTATGTGGTGTGTATGGAGAATATGTGTTGACCGAACCCTAATGTCAAAATTGGTTTGCAAAATTTCGTTCCAACAATTTCGATCTTGTGGATGCATCACGTACTGGAAGGCCTCTTGAAGCCGATATGACTAAAATAAAGTCGTTGGTCGATGTAAATCGTTGAATAACAACTCGAGAGATTGCGGAAAGACAATAATAAAGAATAGGTGGAATTGATTTTGAGCATTGTTCATATTCGCCGATTTCCCAAATCGTAACTTAATAGGACAAAGTGCAAAAATATTTGGGATATCTCAATAGTTTATAAGATATATACATTAAACCTATGAGAGGGTGGAAACGAGACCACTTTATACAAATTTAAAGCTTTGAGGTTTGAAAAAAATTATTGAGCGATTAATTTGAATTATTTTATTCTATAGAACATCCTTGCCGTGTGTAAAAATTGTAGTTATAAAACTTTTTTTTTTTTGAGTGTAGTGATGTAGTCAAAATATTGGGATCTACCGCAGGCACAATTCCCCTGATAATTTTATTTAAAAAGTGACGCATTACACAAAAATTAATCTACAGAAGATCTCGTCAGCAATGACGTTCTCAGAGTACCCTACACTTGAAACTACTAATAACTGTTTTTGAAGCACTCAAGCGAATTGAGCAAAAAGACGTTGTTAGTGGCTTACACTATTTGCTATATTAAATGCACATTAATCCAGAGAATTTACAAATATGTAAATTGTTTATTCTCATAATTACTATTAAAACCGAAATAATAAGTAAACGAATAAATTAAAGTGTACTGTGTTATTGAGAAAAATAAAAGGTATACTCTACAATGTTGACTCTTTAACTAATATGCCTCCCTCATAGTATACTCTAAGAGTACATATATATGCGTTTTGTAAATATGTGAGAGTGTGTATATATCCTAGTATATAGATGGATGTGCAAATGCATTTTATTGTATTTTACTAAACAATTTTATGTCGGCGAGTAAAAATTACCTTCAAAAGCACATTAATATATACAAACATAATTCCCAACGACCCGCCAGACACCTGTGCCCAGAAGCCTGCCGCAGTATAAAAGCGCTGGTCAGTCCTGTGAAAGAAATTCAGTGGAAATTCTAACTTCATACCGAACAGAACACAAGTGTCGCGTCATCGAAACAAACTAAAGAAATCAAACAAAATGCGCCTTTGCATTCTATTCGCACTCATTGTTGCGATCTACGCCGACGCCGATAAAGAGCCCGAAGAGTCGGGGGTTGCAGCTGTGAAGCCAGTATCCGTTGAAATGCAAAGCGCTGGAGCGGACGGGCAGCCCAACATTTTGCTGGAAGATGCGGATGCCGGCGGAGAGCATGCCGAGAAAGCTGAGCGTGTAACACGAAGTTTCGGTTGGGGCGGTTACGGTGGATACGGCTACAAGCGTTGGGGTGGCTACGGAGGCCACAGAGGCTATGGGGGTTATGGGGGTTATGGTGGTTATGGTGGATATGGTGGTTATGGATATCGTCCGCACTATGCTATTGTTTATCGGAAACCGTATTACCATGGTTATGGCCACAAATATTGGGGTTGAATGCCGACTTGTTAAAATTGAAATGCGATTAAAATGTGTATACGATTATAGAATCTACTTAGAAAAAAATAAAACAATTTTAAATAGCAATTAATCTAATTTAATGAGTGTTTCGTGTGTGAAACTGTGTGCTTGTTTATTGTCTACGAAAATTCACAGCGTTTTTAATAGGCGCAATAAACCAGCTGAGGCGATATGTTAATTGTGAAAGCATTTGTCATCGAATATTGTTGATGCTTGTGAAATGATAGTAAATTAATTTGTTCTGATCAGTAGATCTTATGATGCACAGCAATCGTGTTTTTGTAGGCTCTTTTGAACAGCATCTCATAAAATAAGATAAATCGCTTCGTGTAAATTAATATTTATAGCTTTAAATATGGACACCCATTAGAAAATTTTAAATTTCTCAGGAATTCAAGATGATGCTTATTTTATTTGAATATATAAATATGTATATTGTCAACAGCATTGTTGACAGGAATGTATTGTATAATGATACAAAGAGCATGTGCCAGCTTGAATGCTCAAGGCAGGACAATATTGAAAGCTCGTAGTGCTTTTAAGTTTTTTACAAAAAATCTCATTCGTCGAGGCTGATGAACGCTCTGATAGGTTTTCACTTGTATACAATCGTACATATTGATAAAACCAAAGCATTTTTTTCATATAATCGTAAATAGTTAATCAGAAAAATGGTAGAGAAGAATAACATCTCTTTAGGTTCCTTTCAAGACATTATAGACAATCCACTGGTCCGGATTAACAATTCATTAATTTTACACCACATCAACGCACCGATACAAAATCCAAGACACCATTTGATCGCACGGCCAATACCTAGAACCTAGTCTAGATTCTAAGCCGTGACATTGACAGCAGCGATCTATTGATAAAATGTCTGTATTTAATTAAATGGACACAGATGGACTAGAGTCGTTCTTCCTCTTGAGCACATATACCGAATATTACTGGATCTACTTATCCCTTTTACCTACTATTTGGCTTAATAACATGAGATTTGATATCGAAATTAAAGAATCCTGCCTATACAACACCACTAACCCACTAAATTGGCATATGGTTTTCTGATAATTATATTCCAATTGTCTAATATATGAGAAGTATTATTTTATTCAAATGAGACATTTGAAAATTCTATATAGCGAATATAAATATTTTCATCTGTCTTTTGAATTTATCGTCGTGTAAAAGTTACAAAACTTTCCCTAATGACGATTTTTTAAAACTGTATATATTGAGTGGTGGATGCTGAAGTATTTTTCCTATGATACTTGGTAATAAAGCGAATACTTGTACGATCAATATTAGATTAGTAAGTGTAACTTCTAGAACCTCGCATTTAAAGGCTGCTTTTTTTGTTTGGACAAGTGGTTTCCAAGAAGAAATAAAACGCATAAAATTCAATGTAATGGCCAAGTATATAACCTTAATATATTGATAAGGGTTTGACCCTATATTTTAAAAATTATTCCGCCGAGACTGCCGCGGCTAGCTCGAATAAATTCCCGCCGAGAATCCGAATTTGAACCACAGCAATTGGAACCGTATGTCAGCAATAACGCGCCGAGTATTCTCTTCCAATATTATGAGATTAGAGGTCACGCCTCAGGTCTACGACGAGAGGTAATGCGCCTACCAAAAGTTTCCTTTAATAAATTGATTGTTTTGTTGGCTATATGGCATATAGCACCTTGTTGGTTATTGGAACCAAAGGTTGTTCACACCAACGTCCTCCAATTCAGCCACGAAAAAGTCATTAATAATGAAGATATCTTAATTTTTACACAAGTTATCACATGTACTGACGGACAGAAGGACTGAAACATCCGTTACTTATAAATATAAAACGATCCGCGATACAAACGTTAGGAAGGTCCGACACCCAGTTCTATTCAAAATGTTCAGATAATACATAGCAACTATGGATATATACATTTAACACCTTATTAGTGAAAACTAGAAAATCGTTAACTTTGGCTACACCGAATCTATATGCCCTGCATAGGTGCATTTTTTATAGCAGCTATATTCGTAACTAAACCTGGAAACGTAATCGGTTAAATATTATGAAGAACTCTTTTTTTTAAATTTGGATCGGTCTGTTTTAATGTCAGGTATATGCTATAGTGGTTCTGAACAATTTGTTCGGAGATTGTATCGTTGAATTAGATAATGATCTTCGACAAATTTCAGGAAAATACCTCGTCAAATAAAAAATGTTTCCATGCAATTACTTTATTTCGATCGATATCTAAAAGAATAAAGGCAATCGTACAGATAGACGGAGTTCACTTAGCTGGTCACGCTAATCATTTATATGAAACATTCGCCAATTATTGAGTCTTGAAAAAAATATAGTCAGCTTATAATTTAAAGATTCCCAGAAGTGGGAACTGCAGTACATAGGCAAGTAGTATATAAAAACATACAGATATGTCGAATAACATACAAAGGTGTGTCACAGCTCAATTATTTTAATGTATTTCACCTATTATTAAATTTAGTCGGTTGATTTCGTAATTTGAGAGGCAAAGAGAAAGAATACGTTCAGTTATACTTATAACGGCTCTTACCGGTTAACACTTCAACTCAAACATTAATATTCACGTAAATGTCGAGTTCGTTGATCTGAGTAAACATGACTAAATTGAAGATATGTACAAGTAATTGGCGTCAATTATTTAACATTTATTTTTATTTAAAATTCCATACAGCCGCTTTGGGAATGGTTATAGATATTTGGAAAAACGACGTTATTAAAAATACACCACTTTATAATTTAGATAGTATAAGTCAAACTTACCAAAAAATTACTGAATACAGCTTTATCAAAATTTCGGTTGTATTTTTAAAGGCATATTCACCGAACTTTAATATCTCTCATTTGTTCTGAAATTATATAATAAATGTAAAAAAAATATTTTTATACCCTAAACAGGTTATATTAAATTTGCCACGAAGTTTGTAACACCACGAAGAAAGCGTCGGAGACCCCATAAAATGTATACATAAATGATCAGCATAATGAGCTGAGTTGATTTAGCCATATCCGTCTGTCTGTAGGTATACGGACTATTCCCTCAGTTTTTAATCTATCCATTTGAAATTGTGCACCTGGCTTTTCCTCAATAAGAAGCTGCTTGTTTGTCGGAACAGCCGATATCGGATCAGTATAGCATATAGCTGCCATACAAACTGAACAATCGGAATCAAGTGCTTGTATGGAAAACTCTTTCATTTGACAAAGTATCTTCACAAAATTAGATCGGAATCGAGTGTATTTGTAAAGGATATTATAGCTCCGGTGCAACCGAAGTTAACGTTTTTTTCTGGTTTTTCGATTAAGTAAGGTGTTTACGAGATATCGTCAAAAATCGGAAAAAAATTTTTTTTTTTAATATAAACAATAGTTATAAAATTCATAAGAAAAAAATGTTGCCTTAAAATAATCAAACTTTATCTATTAATATATCTTAAATGGATAGGTTAAAGAAATCGACATTTTTTTTCAAATAGTTGGAAAGAAGATATAAATTTTTTCTATCTGACAATAAAAAAAACAAGTGTAAAGCGGACCCATACTTTGAGAGACTTTCGTAGAGGCGTCTAAGAACCTACATATTTTTCAGAGTACCAAGCGAAAAAAAACGTTTTTTTTATCCACTCTAATACACTATGTACTCCTACATATATGTGTATATAAGTATTTGCCGGCAAGGTACATATATAATTGTAATACACCACGTAGTACATATTATACATATCTGAGAAAATCTCACTTTCATATTTCTATTCGCGCAACTTAATACATGTCTTTAAATTGCAGCTAATAAATTAATAATGTGTTTCGCTTAACGATTATGACCATGCACAAATCAGTTAACATTTGCTTACTGCTCACGCCCCGCAGTAAACGATCAAAATAAACAAACAGTTGATAAGTTTAAAAATCAACAAGCAAATTTGCACAAATATTTTAATCCGCCGTGACAAATTGTGCAGCATTTCAAATGCAAAACTTCTGATTGGCTGTGGCGCAATTACATACTTTGTATATATACAAATATATTTATATGTATATTAATACATGCATAGCTACTTACATAATTATTACCGTAGCAGCAAAGGCGGCGTGTGAGATGAAGTGCGCTGTGGAGCCATACTTATGAGCTACTGGAGTTTCGAGAGTGTTCACACATAGTTAACAATGTAGTATAAACATATGTACATACTATATACATATGTACAAGTATATGTATAACTCAATAACTATAGTTTTTCCAGCACTTCGTTCTATGTAACAATAATCAAGAATTTGTGGGATTGGTTGAGCCACACAAGCACCGCTTTGTAAGTGGCTTGTTCACATAACTGTCAAAACTTCACACATCTAATCATAAATATTCATGAAATGCATAACTAAATAAAGTAATATAAATCTATATATACATATGTATACGTCGACGCATCTTCAATTCGCTCGGGTGTGTGCGTTTATTGAATTCATTTGCGGTTCATAGTGGTTTGCTCTTCGGCTTTGGGCGTCTTTTATTGGTGCAATTTGTTATAGCAACAATAATAACAATAGTTGGAGGCGATTACGGATGCAACAAATGCAATAAATTCGATTGGCATGTTTTGGGAGTGCGCTTCGCATTTTTGCTTTTGTACATATATATACATATATATATATATTATAGATGTAAATATATAGGTAATGCATGTGGAACGCGTACATTCAGCCGAGATGAGAAGTTGGCTTCAGCCATGGCGATGATTGGTCCGAGCTCGCTTGTTAATGACATTAATTATTTAAGTGATTTATCATTTTAATTGTTGATTGAGAAAGCATGAATTAAAATTTGATTAATGAAGTGATTGGAATTGTTCTGACTTTAAATAAAGAATTTATAGATTAAGCAAAAACTTATTTTAGATCACAGAATCAAACTATTCACATAGAGGTTTTACTCTATGTTTGATTTTTCTACCCCTTTCAACGTTTGCAACGCAGTTTGTAGCACCTAAAAGAAAACGGAGGATACCCTATAAGGTATATATCTCTATAAATAATCAGCGTGACGAGCTTAGTCGATTTAGCCAAGTCCGTCTGTCTGTATATACGCGAACAAGTCCCTCAGTTTTTGAGTTATCAATCTGAAATTTTGCACATGTCTTTTTTTTCCCAAGAAGCTGCTCATATCTCGTAACCGATATCGGATCACTATAGCATACAGCTGGTAAACAAACTGGCCGATCAAAATCAAACTCTTGTGTGGAAACTTTTTTATTTGTGAAGGGTATTCTAGCATTGATGCAACCGAAGTTAACGTTTTTTCTTGCTGTTGTTTTAGTTATGTACTTCTATCATTCATAAATCCTGTTTGCTATTACTTTCTCTTAATAGAGGGAGAACTCTCAAATAAGTTAGTGAAGTAGCCTATTTTGCTTGTCGAATTTCACCTTTTTTTGTACCGCAATCTTTCGCTTCTTTCAAAAATGTATGCAAAATAAGGAATAAATATGGAAGAATTTCTATTAAATGTGAGACATGGAAAAGTACAACTGTCCTGAATATTACATATGAAAACCCTAAAATAAATGTTATTAAAACTAAATAATTAAGAGAGGTTTAGTAATTTGTACTTAATGGCAATTTGTGAATGTTAAAGGTTAGTAAATATTTTCAGGTAACCTTAAAATTGTATTATAAAAAAATTGTCATTGTATTAGTTACTATCCGCAATTTTTATATGTGTAAAAATGACATATAAAAATTGTTTTCTTTTTCGAATATCTATTACGAAATCAGCCTAACAGAACTAAAATTACTATATCCGTCAAGTACTTAGCCTCAGCGACCGATAAACGCTACTAACGCAAGAAAATGTGTGCGAATGTACAATACATTGCCTGTCTGTCAAAATTTCGGCATAACTCTTATTTTTTACCCCATGCAGAAGTGGTTGTGCAGGCGGATCTCAAAAAATGGAAAAGCCCTTGATTAAGTACGCAAGCAAAAAGTTTTCTTATACTCGAAACAGGGTATATTACTTTTGCCATGAAGCTTGTAACGCCCAGAAGAAAATGTCGATGGCCCTACAAAATATATGTATAAATGATCAGCGAGACGAGTTGAGTCGATTTAGCCATGTCCGTCATATGTCAACTAGTCCCTCACTTTTTGAGATAGCTATCCCAAATTTTGCACACGTCCTGAACTATCAAAATGAGGTCCTTGTATGAAAACTTTTGCATTTGAAAATATATCTTCACGAAATATATGACCCAAGGCAATGTTACAATCTCCGAACAATTGTTCATATTGGACATCTATAGCATATATCTGATATACAAACTGATCAATCAAAAAAATGCTGGAATGGAAACTTTTTATTTGAGGGAGCATTCTTGCCACGGTGCAACTAAAGTTAACGTTATTTCTTCAAATACTTCCAACAAAGAAATCACATAAAAAGTTTTTCCGGGTTTTTTATTGGCTAATTTTTTATTGGAGTGCAATTTACCACATAATGTCGATCCTGTTAAAAAAATAGCTGCGTTCCCAGAAGGTTAACGGCAGATCGCATTGTTGCAAGGAAAAGATGTCTACTAAATTTCCTTAAGATTTCGCTAATAGTTACTGACTTGTTCGACATACTTGTAGAATCAACGAAAGCCAGGGATACTCTCAATTTCGGTATATCGGGCTATAAAAAATTTATATGTTTCATTTCAGATACTTATATGTTTTCAATGATTTTTGATTGTTGATAGATGTACAGAAATCACCCCAAATATTCGGTTATAATATAAGATTTTGCTAACCTAGTACTAACGAACTATCCCTAAGTTCGCGTGAAACAAACTTCCGCAATGGAAAGTATTAAATTACGTTGCAGTTGGACAGACTTTTAACTTCCAAGCGAAATAGAAAAATTACAACACTTTACCCAAATAAATGCAAAAATTAATTTCCTTAAAAATCTTTTATACAATTTTTTTATGATCACAAAGAAATAAAGTTCTTTTCAATCCGTGAGCATTACATAACACACCCAATTCAAATGGCGACAGTAATCAATCTGTGTTGACAATAAAAAACTTGACGCTTCCTGCAACACAATGTTTCGCTTGTTTCACAGGCGGCGTTTATCGCTACATCTTCACGACAAAGAACTGCAAAAAATCTTGGCAAAAATACAAAACTAAACTAAATATTTTGACAAACCGCGACAATAGAGCGAAGCTTTGCACCGCTTGTCAAGTTGATGAAATTGCGGCGCACGCCTCGCCTTGGCCATAACCGCGCCAAAAGATCGCACTTAACGATCAGCCGAAAATTAGTAAACTTCACACGTAACCGCAACAAAGACGCGCATTATGCGAAACACATCAATCGCAGATAAATCTCATGGCTCACTACTGCCAAGATGTTGTGGCATGCCGTCGGGGAAATAATAGAAGCAGAAGAGAGAGATGAGCGCACAATTATCACCGCAAATCGACAGACGCAATGACAATATACAATATATCTGAGGGACGTTCTTAAATCTAAAAAGACATTTTTACATAGGATTTGCTGACTCCTGTAAATTATGTTTTTGAGAGGCAATGCGATCACTCTAGACTCAATTGGGTACTCAATTTATGTGTTGTCTGCGATTTTGTACAAATTACTTATTTCTTGAGTTATCGTCGGATTACTTACTCTTAGGCCTCCTTCCTTAAACTTAGCCAATCAGTTTTCTAAAGTGTATGTAAACTCAATATTACCGACTGCGGAACTGAAACCCAAAAAACTGTTTTAATTGCACTTTTACGAACTGCTGTAATGTAAGCTTAGTCATAGTTACGGAAGGTCTCAAATTTGGTATATGGGGTAAGGACATACATACATATATAGCTGCTCTCGACCAATTTCGGATGAGTTGCCACATATAATAGTCACTACATGTAGAAAGTTATATTTCTATTACTTCGAAGCAGGTTGAATTTAAAAGCATGAAAATAGGGTTTGGCTTTCATCTATGGAACATTAATGTACTAAAACTATTAGTTTTGATACACTGAGAAAAAAATTTCACGATTATTTGATTTAAAACATGCAGCAGAGAAAACAACAACTGTTCTTTGATTTAGCTTGCTCAATTGTACTTCTATATGGTCTCTTTGAGGCCTTAATATTACCGTCTAAGGGAGCGAAACTTAAGAAAATCGTTAATTTCACTTCTACGGACCATCCTAATGTAAGCACACTCATGTATGACTGCGCTTATTAGACATACTACTCACCCACAAATATTTACACACGTGCGATCTTAAAAGCACGGCTAATTTGTTAATACACCTGTTGTTGTTGCTATAATTGGATGTGATCATGTTTTACAAGAATTTCAATCGACATTTGGGTGGGAAGTGTGGATTTAAGGCGAGACAAGAAAAGTTCCAACTTTTCGTTTCTGCCGGCATCTTTCTCCATTTCTTTACGCTAACGAAAAAGCAACAGCTACGAACCAGTACGCGCAGTAAGCAGAATTGGCGACAATTCGCATAGTAAATCGAGTTGTGGCCTTTAATTATTTAACCCTGACATTTGAAAATGTGCAAACATCCAAAAGCACACACATACTTGTATAGAAACGTTTAAAGACTGTTTTAGATCTATGCAATGTGTTAAATGATTTTTTCCTGCTAATATTTCTGTTTTGTTTTGTTGTTGCTTTTTTATGAATTTATCATACGTATATGGCCTTTTTCTTCTAATTTTACAGTTACCGCTCGCGAAAGCAACATTCATTGCCGGCATTAAGCAGCGTAGCGTCTAGCATAGCAACCCGGACCATGTCGGCGTTTGGGACGCAAGCGGGCGCGGCTACTGAGTTTTTGGCTTTAAAAATCTGAAATAAAAAACAGGATATGGAACATGTTTTGCATATTAAAATAATTTCATGCAATTTTATAAAATTAGTATAAAAGCCTGTTGCTTCGAGCCAGTTGCTAACATTATTGGTTTTGGGTTCATCACAGTTTTTTCTATTTCGCACTCTCGCTTTTGTTTCATATTTTAAATTCTTTCTTACCCGAAAAAGAAATTAAAAAAACACACAACGCACAAAATGGTTAAAATTGTAAGTCTAAATGGAACAATATAAATATTACAAAGTAGTGAATGTGCTGTATTTTTAGTAGTGAAATTTCGTTTGGAAAACCGAATGTCAAATATTGAAAAGTGGTTAAGTGAAAAGTTTTGTAATAACTCTGTAGAAAGCAAGAAAAAGCTCTAAGGACTTGGCGTTTTAAAAACAAAAATATTTATTTATACATATACTCTATAAAATGTTCCATAACAATCCATTCATATAACTCATACAAGCCATAACTATATGTATAATTAATACATACATTGTATATGTATTGAATTCTTAATACAAAATTAACTCTACTGTAGCCTTAAAAATTTACACAGATATGTTCATGCCGAATAGAACACGTGCAAGGAATATCTCATAAGTGCTAGAGTAAAATATTACAGAAATCTACTATTCTAATTTTATTCGGAATCGGTTTTTATTCACATAGAATTGTACTTATAGATTAATTAATTTTTAAAGCTTTTAAAGTTAATTGTATTTCAACCTTCATTTTGTGGAAAGAGTGAATGAATTATTTAAAAGCTTTTATATAAGAATTAAGTAACTGGGTTTCGAAAGTACACCACTCTTTAGAAAGCTTTCGCTCTCAATTACAGAGTTTTTAGCTCTTGAGTATACTTTACGGATATTAATGAATACGTAGGCAAAGCGTTTCCATACTATAATGCCTATATAGTGCAATAGAAGCTCAAGAAAAACATATACGAGTACATACGTCTATCCTTGACTATTTTGACTACAAGACTTCACGTATCTGAGAATTTTGGATTTTTTTTTTCGATTTTTACAAACTATAATCCTCACGAAGTTGTCTATTTGTTCCGATTACTTAAAATATTGGTTCTGTATTTAATATACACGTATTAAAAACCTTCACCTTTTTATAGAATAAAAAATTTTAAATTTATGGACATATATACTGTCAAAACTATTTTTTAGTAATATGTATATATATATAAAATGCACCTGTGAAGGGTATTTTAATTCCGATGCAACCGAAGTTAATGTTTTTTCTTGTTGGTACTTGGAATATGCAAAATACGTAATTTAGAGAGTTAGGTTTAAAATTATTTTCTACGTTTGGATATAACTGCTCTTAAGAAATATGTAATTTGAAATTTCACTGCCCATACTAAGTTGCACAGCAGACCTTTTTAGTTAGTCTTCCAGGCTAGGGTAAGGTACATTTTTATGAATGGTTTTTTATGATATTGATTATATAATTTTTTAGTATATATCCTTGTCTTGTTCTTGTTATTTTTGATTTTATTACTTTTATAACATTAAGAAAAATCCATTAAATAAATACCATATATCCCCAACTCTTTCAGTTCGTTATTTTCGCTTGTCTCGTCATCGCTGCTGTCTCAGCTGCACCAACCGAAGAGCCAGAACGTGAGGTTGTAGCAATTCTTAAGTCCGAGATTAACAAGTACAAGGATGGTTCATATGATTTGCACTACGAAAGTGGTGATGGCACCGTCCGTAAGGAGGAAGCCAGCGTAGTCGATGAAGGTACCGAAGATGAAGCACTCGAAGTTAAGGGCTCCTACAAATACATCAACTCCGAGGGTGAAGAAGTCGAAGTCTTCTACACTGCCGGCAAAAATGGTTTCGTACCCTACAGCTCAATCATTAATTCTGAGATATCAGCTGTAGCCGAGGCTGCCAAGGACTTGCCCAAGGAAGAGATTGTAGAGCCAAAACAGAAAACTGTCAACGTCTAAGGAAAATGTAACAATAAAAAAACATAATAATGATTACAGATTTTAACAAAAATTTAATTAAAATATATGGAGAATTGTAAAGGGAGAAAGGAAGAGCGGGTGATGGTTCTATTAGTCAGTTAAGTGATATGATGTGAACGACAAGAATTGACACTGTTATGAATATCTTAGCATAAATTTATTTTACATTTACAAATAAGTATGATCTGTACTATATGCTAAAGCGATGAGCTAAAATATATATGTATATGCGTATCTAGGCATAAGTTATGAGTATGTCCCCAAATTATATAATATGTACATTCAAGCAGCGACACCCGAAGTAAAGATAAACCGAAAAAGAAATGTTTTATGCATTTTTATTGATGGCGATTTTAACTATCGCAAAATCTAAAGTGAATATTGTATATTAATTAGACGGGGAATTAAATTCCGAACACAAAAAACTCATTAAGTTGCATAACTAAAAGAAAGCTTGCGTAATAACCGGTTTGATAAGGTGAAATGATCTTAAATGAAACTCGTTCATATAATTTTGGCGCTATCGTTAGACTACTTTATTTATTATTTTAAAATAAAAAATTTCTGATCTCTGTTCTAATGGAGATGGGCAAAACTATTCTTGTTTCTACTTCTAATGTATAATGTATGCATAACATGTTGCTGGTACCGTTAGAGTTTTTATACAATGTAGAAATCATTACGTTGTGACATTATGCAAGAATATGCTGCTTAATTTGCCTATAAATGGGTAGACGGTTTGAATTTAATTAATGAAAAAACGGCAAAAAGTATGTTTACTGGTATGTCTACTGGTAAGCATATATATGTATATATATATATATATATATATGTATGTATATAGGTATGTTTATAAAGAGATGATTATGACTCAAATCATCGACTATGCGTTTTTGTAGTCAAATAATAATGGTTTCATAGCATTTTTTCGAATAAATGGGTTATAATAAATTAAGTGTTACTATCAAACTCAAAGTGCGAATAAGCTATAAAAGTGATTCGAACAATTTTCTTTAGAATTGAGGAAAACTTTTTACTTTAAGAATTTTTGACAATTTTCTATAATGGTTGCAATATTTATGCTTATGAAACTTTTTGTTTGAATAAATTTATACAAACATTACTAATAAGCTTATGGACTTAAGGTTATACCATATTTTATATGCCTGCGTCGACTTGACTTTCAGAAAACCACTTTGAAATTTTGCTATGTGAATGTGCTCCCAAGAAATTTGGCTATATATGCATACTATATACTTTTAGAAAAAAATGTACCTAGAAATTCTCTTGAAATAGAATTTCATTAAGTATTATTTCATTCCAGGCCAGAAGATCTTGTTTTAAACTTTTACTTACTCATTTCTCATATTCTCAGCTCTAATGAACTCAAAATTTTGCAATAGTTCTAATTGTAACGAACATCAACAGACGGAACGATTCATATGTACTGGTAGAATAAACTGTTACAGTGGATTCAAAGATAACGTGTTTTCTTTGCGCGATAAGTACGCGAAAATTTGTTTTTATTTTTATTTTGCAAATTATTATTTACTATGCGATCAATGACGCAAAATTTGGTCAGTTCTTTTCAATCTTCTTAGTTTGTCACGTCGTGCCGTGAAATAAAAAAAAAATCGATTGCTCAGTATAAGAAATATTTTGAAGCAGACTTTTTAACGAAACCTCCTAAAGATCTCAATTGAACATTAAAAAAAAGCAGCAGAGTATTTAAATATAAGTTGTACATTTGTGAAAAGGTGGTCTGACCATTATGGAGAAACTGGAAACGCAGATGACAAGACAGGAAGAAGGAAGATTCACGTAACATCTAAAAGTGAGGAAAAAGCTATTGTTCTCCTTTCTGAGAAAGAATTACTGCTCAGTTTAAAAGAAGCTAGAAAAATGTTTAAAAGGTATTAGGTATATCTCTGAATACAATACGTGACAGACTTCAGAAATCTGGCATCAAACGGACCAGTATTGTTATCAATCCCCTACTTTCAAAAGCACACATTGAAAAATGGTGGCATTGGGCGAAGAAACTTGAGACGTGTTCGGCTAAAAAAAGAACAAACCTTTATTCATTGTAGTGCTAAGCACCCCCAAAAAGTACATTTTTATGAATGCTTCTCTGCTCATGGATTTGGGGTTTTAAGGTGCTTCACAGAAAACCTGAACGCCGTTGGAATGATAAAATTGTATAAACGAGGTTTATTGTAGTCGCCTGAAATGATTTACAGCGAAAATAGCCATTGTTGGATACTACAAGAAGAAAATGATCCGAAACGTAGGAGCAGACTATGTACTCAATGGAAACAAGAGGGGAATGCCAGTTCAATAACAAAGATATTCACGACGTTGTTTGTTTTTCGGGAATCGAAGAAGTATGATCACTTGCACAAAAATCTGCTGAAAAATGTTCAAATCATGAAAAAATTGTTGCTGAATTTTCTGAAAAAATTATTTAAAAAATGGAAGCATCTGTTGAGTAGCAGTTTTGTTGTCATAAAAATTCTAAAAGTGGTAAAATTGATGTAAATCACTTACTTCACTGCTGATAGGATCTGGATCTTAGCTCGCTACTTAAAGGCTTTTAGTTTACTGAAATAAATAGGTCCCTAAAATAAATATATGGAATGACGGTAATAAATCAAGTTATGTATATAGGACCTATGCATATATTTTTCCGAGTACCAAAACAACGCACAAGTAGATTATGTTTCCTTTTAGATACATAATGTTACGCAAGTCAGCTGTCAATCAAATTATAATGAAAATATTTCTCTGGTAGCAGCGGTAGCAGCAGAATCGCATTGGTTCTATTGATTATCCATTAATTTTTTTCTTAAACTTGTATTCTTCTGTGTAAACAATTATCGCGAAATATAATAATTAGGGATTTTCAACAATTGGGTTTTCTTAGAATATATGGTAAGCGGCAGCTTTAAAACTATTGAATATGCTACTCACGATTGTTATTACCAGCGCTACTTTCGTGATTTCTTTGTCAGTTAAAGTTGTTGTATTCGGCTATTACACACACACTAATTAAAATTTACTTACCCCGAAAGCTTCTTTGAAAGGTGCTTATTTATGGGGAGAGATAAGCAATTTACTCTGAATTATCATATCGATGCTTTTCCAGTAATACAAGTATCGTTTATCCATTTGTTAAAAATTTAATAAAATTTCAAATATAGCAAAATTATGGCATAGTGGAACGACAATGTATGTGCGCCACATTTACAAGCATAAGTTGTCTTACAATTTATTTCTAATGTTAGGTACCGCTAGTCTTAAAGTATATACTTATTATGTTAACAATTATAAAAATTTTACACTAAAAGCTACGTATTAATTTGCCTGTGAGCTATTATGTACCATCTTCACCAAAGATGTTCATAGATATATTAACATATATGGATAGTTATCTTTAAAAATATATGTATAGTATATGATGGAGAACTGATCTAGCTTCAATTATCTTCTTCTTTCAAATATGTCGAATATTTTTATATGGTTTTTGACACAGTCACTTTCAGAAATTGCATATTAAACGAGTTTCGGTTATTTCTTAATGTCCAAAAGATATTTCTATCATATCAGTTTTAGTATTTAGTAACTATTATTTCAAATACAATTAGAAGGGCCAAAAGCTGCTAGAGTACTATTCTTAACTAGAATTCTGGCAAAGTTTCCAAATATTTCAACCTCTCATAAACCTCTGAAACAATGTAAGTGAATTGCTAGTAAACGTAAGGAAGAACCAGAACCAAAATGTTGGAGAACCGTTAGAACAAACGCATTAGTATATTTTATTTAAATATAGCAGGTAGGAAACAAATCCTTTAAATTAATTTTCTTAAAAGTTTTTCTAACTTATATTGTTAAAAGTAAAGATGAACTTAAATATAAATGAAACTTAATCATTGATGCGAATATTCCCTTGGCTACTATACTTCAGTTATGAACGGCTATTATCGGATATTCGGCTTTGTCGTTGATTTGGCTGTTTGGCATATGATCTTTTCCATTTAGGGTTCTCGTAAGGGATCCATTTTTTATCACCAGTCACAGTCCGATGCAAAAACGACTTCTTTTTTGGCGTATAAGCAGCATTTCTGACATGCAAAATCGTCCTTCAACGTCTCTTGGCACTAATTCATAAGGCAGCCAATTAATTTTCTTGCTTTGAATTGTATCTGGCTGTTTTTAAATGTTTGGAAAATAGCTGCTTGAATGACTTTTGCGAGCGTTTCTTGTGCTTGCCAACAATCTTTAACGGTGTTGTTTTCTTTTCAAACAAAATGTTTTGGCACGTTCGCTCAACTGGAGTATGTTCACCATAAACTTCCACCAAAATACGACGACTTTGGGTTGAGGTTTTCTTCATATGAAAATAATGAAGAAGTACTCCCAGCAAAAAAAAAAATTCAGCGCACAAGGACAGTAGCTTTGTAACGCACTATATCTTAATCAGGAATCTTAGCGCAGAGGTTTGGTAGAGTAATACATACTACACCTTATCAATAAAAGAATTTTGATCATAATTTTTGTATTATACCTATGTGCATGATTATGCCAATTTATAGATTCATAAATAAGTCTCTTCGACTTTTACCGATTAACTTTTAGTACATAAACTCAAAAATATTGTACATTTATCAAGCTCTCTTTATAATTTATACTCATAATTCATACTAATTATACGATATGTTTGTAAATAAATAAAAATAATGGAAGTTGTGTGAAATGAAGTGCCAATAATGAAATTTAACTATAATTTAGAAGTATTTAAAAACACTAAAATAATAAATATGTAATTTTAAGAAGTAAGGGAGAGCTAAGTTTGGGTGTGACCGATTTTGTTATACTTCTGCAACTTGCAGGCAGCAAAGCCAGCTAAATACCTTCAGGTGTTGACAATATTAAAAAATATAGCGAAAGTGTACAACTTCATAGTTCGACGAAATCGTGAATGGATTACAATCACATTTGGTATTTTATTAACTTATTTTGAAGGTCATAGACTCACCTAGTTTTATTACTTTATTTTACTTCCCGCCAGCAAAAATTCTAAAATCATCTTCAAATGAACTATATGTGATATAAACTCAACCGAAGAGCTAAATTTCATGCATATATAGTTGATGTGAAAAACGTCAACCGAGGGATCGAAATTCATTGTATTAGGGATGTGGGATATGAGGTGTAGACCAAGCAATTTTATAAATATTTAAATATAAATGTATATATGTATATATGGAGTAAAGTCAGCCGGATATTTCAAAATCCTGAATATCAGTTATATAAGCTAAGGCAAGTTTCCACGCGAATTTATCTATTTTAGACACAAAGATACACTCTTATTAAAACAATACGTTTTCTCAGCTTCATTAAATTAACTAGCCCATTGACCGATAAATGTAGTATAAAGTCAGCCGGAAGTTCGAAAGTCTCTATATTTTGTTAGATATATGGGGGCTGAAGGAAGTATTGACTGGATTCAACCCATTTTTGACATAAAATTTCTTCTCCAACAGTTATGGTCCGATTTGAGAACTTTTAGATTCAAGACGGCATACAGAGGTATTTTTTGTGCAAAGTTTTATCCGAATATATTCATTGGTGCTTGATTTGTGCACTGGAAAGTGAAGGAGTCATATAAAATTAAAAAATTGTGCTATATGGGAAACAGGCGAAGTTTAGTCTCATTGCGATCATTTTCACAATGTAACATAGGATCGTTATAATGATGTTATGCATTATGTATTTGGTTGAAAGTGGTAGAGTAGGTCCGGAGATAAGTATGTGGTTTCACCTAGATGTGATTACGCCCATCTATGAACTTGCCCTCACTTTTTTGCCAAGAAAGACGTATATCTCAATTTTTACTCAAGTTATCACTTACGCAGGCGGACAGACGGACGGACGGACCGAAAGACGTCATTCGAATTTCAACTCGTATATTCATCCTGATCATTTTTATATATGGTATATAACCCTATATCTAACTCGATTATTTTTAGATGATACATTGGCAAGTGTATAAAAACAAACAAATAAGCAGCGAGTATAAAAACTAGTTAGGAGGATTAAATGAGGGAATATTTTTAGCGTGGTGCAACAGTAATAAGATAATGTCAATAGCAAAGTGTTTGCTAAATTTGAGTTATTAGTTTTCTTTTTAGAATAATAATTATTATTTTTTAATTTATTTTTTATTAATTTATATTGAATACATAACAACAACTTTAAATTATTGGACTTTTTGATTTTTCTTTGTTTTCAATGTTAATTATTTTAATGCAAAGAAATCATCAACAATATATTAGTTCCAAAGCAGATAATATAGACTTCATAATTAAATATTCAGTTAATTATATTGAAGAATGTGGTTTTTTGGTCGACAGTCCTGAAACAAACACTATTCGTATTTTGCATGGAAAGCATAGCAAAGCTTAAAATTGGTCGTTATTTAAGGTATTTGTTTGGGGGCGTTGTGCGAGTCACTAATCGTTATGAAATAATACAGATTTCGGTTGCGTCGAAGCTATAATACGCTTCATTAATAAAAGAGTTTTCCAAATAAGAATTTGCCCTATAACGGTCAGTTTGTATGGCACCTATATGCTTCCGACAAATGTCGTCGCAGAGTCTTGGTTAGAAAAGGACGTGTGCAAACTTTGAAATCGATATCTCAAAAAATGAGTTACTAGTTCGCCTACTTGTATATACAGACAGACAGACGGGCATTGCTAAATCGACTAAGCAACGCCTTTTATATAGTATATATGGAAATAAAAACGAGTTGTGAACTACTTATCTTACCTTACTAATAATAACTGTCAGGCTAATCATCCATCCATCAAAATTACTAAGAATCAATCAAATCTTTATCATTGGTGATTGTTGTTAACGTTCTCTAATACGTGTTACTTTGCAAGTTGTCTGTGGTTATCAGTCATGAAGATATGGATCAAATGTACCTAAAAGATATTTCTGATATGTGTACAGTTAAAATGCTTCGAGTATGAGTAATCGAATCTAAATATGTATATTCCAGGGCAAAAGATCGTTGAAGCCCAACTCTTCGTTTGAAATAAAAGTTATTTAGCCTCCACCAAGAACCATCAAACTAAAAAATAAAACAGTAGACTTGATAAAACCCCTCCGCAGCTCCGCTTATTTAAGAGATTTTAGTACACAACACTTATTAAAATGTTAAAAAAAACAAAACAAAATTTAAATAAAACGCCACGAAACAAGTTTCCTCCGGTGGATCATCATCACCTCATTAACATAGGTTACGTGAATATTATATTTATACGTCAACCAAACTCAAGTTAATAAAAAATTTCGCAAAGAACTGGAAAAAACACAAAAAATACTCCGTTTGGATAATTAAAAACATTTTGGTTAGTACTTATTTGCAAATTAATTTTCGATATAAAATTGACGAAAATTAAAGGCCGGAGAGTAAAAGGTTTTGTAAGCGAATTGTGACCAAGCTGGGAAAGATTAGAAGCGATTTGGAATATGCGACTATTGTCCAATTTACGGTATATAGAGCAGAATTTGCCAATATATTTACAAATCTCGACTGATCTCTCTCAACGGCGCTCTGTTGTTCTGTGAGGAGTATGTGCGCTTGTGCGCCGGGCGTAGGAGTTATCCTCGTAAATAACACTTCGATTTCTCGCATACTAAACTGGATGCTTCTTAAGTTTATAATGATTTATAAAACAACAATAACAACAAGTGTATATAATAATGAGCGATTATTCTTATTTTTATTATCAGCATTTTGGTGAGTGTGTGAATCAGTGGCGGCTGAGCAAATGACACGAAACACACAAAAACAGAAACACACATAAAAATATCTCTTTTTTCGGTGGAAAAAAAATGAGCGTAAGCGATGCTAACTTGCCTGGTTCTTAACTTTTCTTTAGTATAAAAGTGACGAAAGTTTGAAGATACGAATAAGTTTGAAGCTGAGCTTTGTCGAGTGTGAACGAGTGTTGTGAGATTTGCGAAGAACAAAAAATGTACAAATTTGTAAGTTTCGTGGAAAATAAAATACCTTAAGCAACAAATAAATTGTGATTTAAAAAAATTTTATGTTATATTAACTAAAACCCTCTACTTTGCAGATATGCGTATTGGCCTTTGTCGGTGCCGCCTATGCTGCCAGCATCGGTGCTGGCGTGGAATCGACCACTGAAAAGCGCGAAATCATTCCCCTGCTGCGCTATGAGACTGATAGAAAACCCGATGGCTCCTTTAGCTTCTCCTACGAGGGTGGCGATCAGAGTGCACGCGATGAGGCTGGCGTAGTGGAGAATGTCGGTACTGAGGAGGAAACGCTGGAAGTTCATGGCTCCTACCGTTACATTGATGCCGATGGCCAAGAGATCGAGGTGCATTACACCGCCGGCAAGAATGGCTTTGTGCCAATTGGCACCAATATTCCCGCTGAGATCTCAGAGGCCGCTAAAGCTGCGGCTGATCAGCCCAATGAACCTGTGGAAACGGAGAAAGTGAAGCGTGCCGCGCCTTCGAACAAGGAAGGCAAGGAGGAGGAAGGGGGAGAGAAGGAGAAAGAAAGCAAAGGTGGTAAGCAAGAAAATGAGGAGAAGGAAGTCAAGGAAGAGAAAGAAGTAACGGAGCAAAAGGAAGGCAATGAAGAGAAAGGAGGACAGAAACAAAAAGAAGGCAAGGAGGAGAAAGAAAGGCAGGAAGAGGAAGTAGTGAAAGGAAAGAACGAGGAACAGGAAGAACCAAAAGAAACCGTAAAAGTGGAGAGAGTAGAAAAACCAGAGGAAGAAGAGAAAGCGGGTAAGGCCGAAGAAGGTAAAAAAGGCGAAGAAAAGGAAGTAGAGAAACAAGACGAAGAGAAATCGGTTAAGTCTGAGAAGTCCGAAAAATCTGAAAAGCCTGAAAAGTCGGAAAAATCCGAGAAATCTGAGAAGTCCGAAAAATCCGAAAAAGAAGAATAGTATGTTTTCTTGGAAATACAACTAAACCTCAAAAATGACTGCAAAAGGACGCCATGTTTATGACATACCTAAACAAAAGAAGAAAAAAATCGAACAAAACAAAAGTTTGAGTTGTATAGAGAAAAATTTGATCTACTTGCTGACTCAACTAAGTGTATAGTATTAGTAAAAATTTAGTTTATGTAAGTGCGTCTGGCACATTTCAAACTGGTTGTTTTAATTAATTAAGTATCTAGTTTTAATGTGAAATTTATTTCTATAAACAAAAAAATAAAATAACAAAAAAACAAATTAGTCAATTATCTCTCATTTGTATGCCAGATTACAACCTGTTGTAATAATTTATAAATGTCGAAAAAATATTAAAAACTCATTTATTTGCTAACACAATGCGCAGTGGCAAAGAACGCTCTTATTTAATTAAAACAATTATTTTTATATTTCTGCGCAAAAAAAGCTGTTTCGCCGCATTTTTGTGCGCGAATAAACAATTGCTCGAAATGATAACGAAATGAATTATTGAATGCAAAATTTCATAATTATTCTCACAAAACGTATTAATAATGATAGCTCGAAAATCACAAAAAAAAAGAAAGGCACTTAAAGCAGTGGCTTCGACAAACAGACAAACACACATACACAACCTTTCGACCACAAACCGCCAATTAAATTCATTAAGATGCGCAGCCGTGCACCAAATTAACAAATTATACTGTATGCAAGTAAACACGCACACAAACACATACATATGCGCCTGCATATGTTCATACCTATCTAATATTAATGTATATATCCGCTGATATCTCGCTGGGATGTGGCTCATTTCAGCCCACTCACCCACTTTGTATGCATTAAATGATCGGTTGGAGCACTTGCTGCGCTGCTGACTCGGGATGGGAACCAAATATTCGAGAATCAACGTTACGAAATCATCGAATTCGTTGTTGTCTACTCATTGCCTCTTTTACATTTGTTCGCTATTTATAACTTTCAGTTTATGCTCATGCAATGAAGATCAGCTTTAAATATGCAAGGCAAACAGTGCCGAGAATGCTGTGAGAATACGAAAAAGACCATTAAAGAACATTGCAAGCTGATATAAGATACATATTTGCAAATGTTTCGTTGATTTCTATTTTTGCATTGAAGCTGTGAGGACTCCTAATTAATGGTGGGAGAGCAGTTATTGCAAATACCTTGAAAGATCCATTGATTATAGTAATGAAATTAATTGTATGAGAAAATGATTCAGCATTTTTATTTATTTATCTTCATCGACTTAGATGTTTGTTTGCACATACATTATGTTGATTTTTCGGTATATTTAGAAACCATCAGCAAATTTTGCTATTACGAGTGTATTTAGTAAAAACTTTAATTTCAATAACTTTTTACTAGTTCATATTTTATTGAATTGATTTCGAATTACGAATATTTCTCGTCAAATGAAAAAGTTTTCCATACAAGCACCTGATTCCGATAGTTCAGTTTCTATGACAACTATGTACATGCTGTAGTGATCCGATATCTGCGATTGCGACAAATTAGCAGCTCCGTGGGAAGAAAAGGATGTGTGCAATTACAGATAGATATCTTGAAAACTGATATACTAATTCGTTATATATACACACAGACAGACAGACGGACATGGCTAAATCGACTCAGCTCTGTACACTGATCATTTCCTTTTGGGTGTTACAAACATATATATGACAACATCTCAAATGAGGCCCTAAGTAAGAAACGCTTGAAAGAACCAATTAGGAATTAGATTAACTTTATGCTTAGTGGAAACGTTAGTAGACAATGAAACTATCCAAATGAGTACCATAAAGGGATGCCGCCAATAAGAAGTCTTTTTAGCCTAGTAGTAAATGTCTTACTAGATGTTCTGACAAATAACGGCATATGATATTGTAATAATAGCAGTAGAAAAATTCGAGAACAAACTGTGTGATATCGAAGAAATTATTGGTGCTCTGAAGCAGGTTTTAAAATTATTTTTGCAAAAACTGTAATCGTGACAGAAGGATTCAAATCGTATATGAAATATATACTAATAAGCAATATCGTAATAGAGTTCATTCCCGAAACGAAGTATCTAAGGATAACATTTGACGCCAGTGTAACGGGTAAAACTTACATGGAACAATAAAGAGACAAGGTAATAGATGGTATACAGAGAAATAGCGGAAAAAACATGGGGATGCATGCTCTAGACGCTAAACTGGATGTATACAATGATAGTTAAGCCAATAATTTTATTCCATATGAATATTGCTTGGTCGGAAAGAATGAAACTAAACTTAGCCAGAACACACCCCACAGTGGCACTAGAAGCTTTACTTGAACTTACGCCTCTTCACGAAGTTATAGAGCTTTCCCAAAATAAAACCCTTTAACAATGATGAAAGTTGGTACAGAGAAAGGAAAGATCATGTCATCCAAAAAAGCAACAGAAATAAGGTAAGAAATTCCTCTATCCAATTTTAATAGAGATGAAATACCGAATATAATATATTTTGATTTCAAATTCAGCATAGTTTTAGGAGAAAAAATATAGTTGAATCAATCTTAGATAAAGAAAGAAATAAAACCACATACAGGTGTGGTACACAATGGATCCAAGACTGCCGAAGGAATCGGTGCGGGGATCATGGCCCAAGAACAAAGCTGTCAATACCTATATACTGATGCCAATATTATCATGCGCAACCAAATCACTTGGACATGGAAAGTGTCAGGAAACTACATATATGCAGTGGGCGAACGAAATAAAGTTCTGTTATTTAGAGTTCTGAGACGTACAGGTATATAAGAAAATGAATAGTAGATAAACCTCGAACCCACCGACAGCACCCGAGCTCCTCTTCTCAATAGGCAATCACACGATAAAGGAGAAACTGGGACATGAGAAAAAGAGAATAAGGCACAGGTACTAGTAACGGAATGAGACAATTGAAGCAACTAATAGACGGATACAACACCATAAGATTTAAAAATATTATTTGATGTAGTGGAAATAACTTAAGAAGACTCACAGGTTTTCTTACATAACATACAATAAAGGAAACAATGTGAAAGAATCAGAGGGCACAAAAGACCTATGGTCGCGGTGAATATCCTCCCAATCTATCTATCTATTTGACAAAAGTGATTCTACATTAAATTTAAAAGTAATCGATTTTATATTACATATTAACATATATATAAAAATCGAAAGCTTCACACATAAAATTTGTCTATTTTGAAATCTGATTGTAAGATTTCCACAGAATTTAGCAGGATATATTTTATGGTTTATTTTATTTATTGTGTCAATTATCCTAGTTTTGGGCTCATCGGTATTAAGTTTTAGCTTATCCTTATGTCAGAGCAGATAAGATGATCCTGTACACAAGAGTGGTACAGGAATTAACTAAAATAAAAATAATTCATATAACTTAAAATACAGTACGTTTTAAATGTCAAAAAAGAAGCCAAAAATGTGTTTTATGTTTATCACATAACATCCCTTATATGTGATCTTTGATCATTTTTACACTAACGCAACATTGGTCTGTTTCTAATGAAAAGTCTAATGACTTTACTATTCTGCTGGGATTGCTATTGAAAGCTTTATTTTCAGGGTGTCCTCAAAGAAACTAAACCCTATGGGGGTGTAGTCATCTCATGCTGTTCGAAGAATTGGCATTTCTAAACTTTTCTCATAAGCTAAACGCTTTTTGTGCACCGCTAAATGGCACCTCACATATCTCTTTATTCTCATTAATTCTTACATGTCATAACATCTCCAACGCAACTTCCGATCCAAATGTAAACTTATTTTTGTCTCACATTTTATAAATAGCTGATCACCGAATATAAAATGCTAATAAGATTTCATCTCATAATGCGCAGAAACATAAAACGATATTTAATATTCAGCGCGGGCCAATGACGTAACTTGTTATTGCCAAAAATAAGTTGAAGGCATGCGATAAAACCCCAATTTAGCACTTGTCATTTGTTTTCAATTAAATGACAATATGTTTCGTTTGAATCCAAAGTAAATTTATATTTTACCCTCTACAAATTTGAGTAGATAATTTTTGAAAAAAAAAATCATAGTAGGATGAAACCCATCGGAAACGATGGAAACATTAAGAAAAAAATAATTAACGAGCGATCTGAGATCGTGAAAAGAATGGAAAAGGGCTTGATTGAATTTTTAAGCGTTAAAAACGGTGTATCTCGGTGTCCAGCAAAATTAAATGTCCTATCGAAAAAGATTATATGGCAATGCTGTAGGTAAAGAAAAGATCTATAGCTTTTGTATATAGACTTTTTTGACATAACCTCAAAATTTAAATGCAAAATACCAATAACCAAGTTTTTGGGTATTTTATTTTTATCTTGTGCAAACAGAATTTTTTTGTTGCAAATTTACATTTTTATTTCAAATATTTTTTTTTCCCTTAAATCAACCCAATATCGAAAAAACACTAATTTCAGATTTTAGAATTTGAGTAGGCTTTATGATTGCTGAAATCTCTTCCTTCTGATGGTATTACGAATATATACATTACTATGGTAAATTTGCAAAGATAATGCAAAAAAATGTCACACTAAACAGCTAAAAAAAGATTCAAAGCTGCTCCAAGCAGCTTCTAAACCTGGAATTCGGAAAGATTTTTAAACTTACCGCGTGTACACCAATTGGATAAGAACCGATTAAAACCCTACAGCTAGGGAAAGGGGCATTGCGGGAGCTCATTAGACCTCTTAAGAATCACCTCGGCTTTCAACTGTATGTAGAATAAATTTGCGAGCTTCTTATTTTAATCTTTATTGACAGTGCTCAGCCGCACAAAAGTCCGGGTCTATTCCGGCAACTTAGATATGACTGTCGTGGCATCAAGTCAAAAGCTGAACATAGTTCAAGCTGAGCCGTATGAGATCGAAACTTCGAAATTGACATTAATTATACTTTATAATAGACATAAACAGCCAAAAGCGTTATAATTTTCAAATATTTTAAATACCTTAGCGGTTATAATTGACTCAAAATCTCATTCGCAAAGTATTTTGCGTCTCCGGCTTTACTTTTAAAGGTGTGCAAACGCTGCTACGATCACCTAGATTCGTAAAAATTTACGCCAAGAATAAAGTTCAACCAGTTGCTGCACACCCGCGTCACCACCACTGCCTGGTAACGAAGGCGTCTGCTTGCTTTTACAACCGAATATTAGGCAAGAGATAAGTGCAAAATACAAGCGAAGGTTTGCAGCACATTCCAGACACACCTGTGCAGCATTTGGGGCACCATCGCCTTACCACGCCAAACAACCGTATGCGAATGGACCGCGCCACAAAGCGATGCGCCGCAGCACAAACCACGAGCGGGAGTTGAAGACCAAAAGTGTAGCGCAGAACTGGGGAACTGG